AGTGCACAGGATTCCACAGCTGGGAGAGACTTAGGAAAGGAAGACTTTCCCTGGACAGATAAGGAACTGAAGGCATGGGGGGAGGTGTCCATTGAGGGCCAGTAGCAAGGCCAGAATACCAGCTGATGCCCAGTCCCAAGGGCACACTCTGAAAGGTCAGAAAGGTGCAACCATGGGGCACATTCCACTGTAATGATAAGCACGCAGGTACTGCCCCCTCAGGGTGCTGGGAGACAGACAGGCCCTCGCTGACCCAGTACACGGTCCCAGTTGCCGTCATTTACCAGCCACGGCACCTGGGGAGGATCCTGAGCCGCTGTTTTTCTGAGTTTCCTCCTCTGTACAGCCCTGGAAAGGCCAGAAGAGCAGAAAACATCCAGAGGACAAACAGGATGTCACGAAACCGGCAGGGTCACCCTTACTGGCCCGTGAGCAGGGGTCCCTATAGGCTGTTGTACAGCCAGTGTGTTTTCAGAACCACTCCGTGACTTAACACAAGTGAAGAGTGAAGTGTGCAACCTCAGGAGCTGAGCTGTACGGAACGACTGCTTGGCAAGCTTGTCCTGAAATTTCATCTTTAAATGATACTCCATTACCTGCAAGTTACGACCCACTCAATTAGCCAGAACAATTTTGGGGAGCAGAGGGGAGAGGCATCAGCACCTCGTAAGGACATTTATCTGGAATGCCAGTTATCACTAGTCTGATGAAAAGAGATAGACTCGGTACCAAAAGCCAAGATGAAAGAGCTTAAAGGACTTGGTAATGCCAGACGCCTGGTGGCCCTGCAGAGCTTCGGACATGTGTACATTCCGGTGTCAGCACCTGCAGTCGGATGGCCACAGTTCAAGGACTCTGAGTCAGGCCAGGACCATGACAGGTCCGTGTCATGGCCACATAGCACGGGCTTGGCTTTAGAGGCAAGCAATTCCTTTGCGTAATGAAACCCAGGAGAGCCACCCAAATGTGAGCAACGTCTCGTCTACCAAGCAATCCATGTCCTTTGTGCATGTGAACTTTTAAATCTCGTGTTAACCTGAGTTGGAGGAAACACAGCTGACGCTCAAACCACCTTCTGCTTCCATTTCTGAAAACAAAAGCTGCCTCTTTTCTCTGACTCACTTCAGAGACCCCACACCGGCAGCAGCCTTGCCCAGAAAGAAGTGTGGCGTGGGGCAAGGACGCTTATTTACAACACACTGAAGGGCATAGGCTGCCAAGGAGACAAAGATGGACGGTGCAGCCAAGTTTCTGAAAGGCACGTGTGCCCCGAAACCCATAAAATTAAAGTATAGGTGCTAACTTACCCAAAGTGACTGGCTAAGTTCATGGAAACACAAAACAGGAGAAGATTTTTGATCATGATAAAGCTAGAGAACATTCCATCGTCCATTCCCAATAAGAATAATAGCTGAAGCAGATGAATTTGGAAAATAACTGTTCCTTTCTCCAACTTGATCTTCAACCTGCAAGGTACACAAAGGGGAAAAGCATATAAACACACATGTTTTAGCGTCACAGTTCCTGGAATCAAATCATATTTCTAACACGCACAACTGACAAAGAACCCTTGCTGTCCTTGGGCACAGCTCCACGTGTCATCTGTGTCCCCTGGGCAATAAGTTCGGCAGAAACATAAGTTACAATGTGACATAATTTTCACTTTACCCAGAGTGCAGAATCATTCTCCTAATTTATTTTTTCCACGTCTTGAATACTTCACTTTTTAGCATGTTATCAAATGACCCATTAGTCCTATAACTAGAACAAGTACTTGATGTTATCTGAGTAACTGTTTTGCATCTGTCAAATCCACAAGTGGAATAATTTTACCTTTCTGAAATTTTTGCCACACGTTCAAAGCCAGCGAGCTACTCCTTGTTCTGCGAGGTGCTGAGAGAAAGTACGTGGAAAGAGGGGGGGAAAAGGCACATTTAAGAAACAAGTCTGCAGGATCACGACATTAGAAGAACCGCTTACAAGGGAGGCCTGCCACTTTTTCAGCATCCTATCCCCATGACTAAATAACGTAATAATCACTGCATTTGGGGAGGTCTCTGGGGTCTGTGCCTGGCCCTAACAAATGCATCAGGAACCCGAGTAGGCAGTCGCTGAGCTCTGCCACCGAGCTGAGGAAGGGACGCGCTTCTCACTATGCGCATAAGGCGAACTGGCTCACGCTGCAGGGACAGCTCCTGCTCCCAGTGAACGCGTTCCCAGGGAGACCCCAGGCCAGCTCCGGAGCTGGGAGCCACACAACAGGTATTTCCAGCTCGGAAGCGAAGGCCCCAGTGTCCAGAAGGGCAGGGCGCCACGCTGCCATGCGGTGGTCGCCTGGGCGCGTCCCGGGACTTGTCGCCTGACCCGGGCTGGAGTCCCAACAGCGAGCACGCGGCGCTGCATGCGGGAACCCTGGGCGGCGCCTCCTGCTGCCCCCCAGCCCTGATCCCCCAAAGAAAGGCTGCGCTCGCACAGTCGCCGGGCCGCTGCGGGGTCTTGCGGGCGCCGGTGAGGAGCGGGGCAGCACTGCGGAGCCGCAGCCTCCGCCACCCCGGCTCCCGCGGCCAGGCAGGGTCCGCCTCCCTCCGGGTGCGCAGCGCCTCCCGCTCACGAGCCCTCCGCCGCTCTCCCTGGCCTCGCACACCTCCCACTCCAGCCCCGGGTTCGAGCCGAGCGCCCCGCGGGGCAGAGCCTTCCTCCTTGGAAAGGAGCGCGCGGTGCAACGGTAGCTCCGAGTCCCCGGACTCCAGCAGCCCGCCCGACCCGAGAGAGACGGCCCCGCAGAACCCGCGCAAGCAGCGCGGGATCCCCGCGCACCTCAGAGCCCGGGGGGCTGCCGGGGCCCTGCTGGCGGGCGACTTCGCCCCTTGGGTTCCAGTGACGGCGCCGGGTGCCCCTACGCCCTGATTCTAGCGGTGGGCGCTGTGCCCCGGTGCCCTGTCCCGCAGGGCTGTCCTGCCCTCCCGCGCGGGCTCTGCTCCCGCAGTTGCCGGGGGAAAGTTTGCGCTCCCGGCCGCCGGCGGCGCCCCGGCAGCTCGCCAGCTCCTCTCCCGGACCCCACAGCCCGCGGCTGGGGCGCCCCAGGATAGGGGTGCGGGCCAAGCCGCGGCGCCTGTCCTCTCGCCCTCGCCCGCATCCTCTTCCTCCCGCTGCCCCGGCCCGCGCGCCCGGGGCTTACCCTGCGCGCCGGCCCCGGGAGGCGAGCTGTCGGCTACGGTGCATCCTCCTCCGCCGCTGCCCGCTGTCGCCCGGCTGGCAGGCGCGGAAGGCCGGCGCGGCGTCACCGCCCCATGCTGCCAGCGCGAACTTCCCCAGCGCGCCCGGGCCGAGCCGAGCCGAGCCCCGCGCTCCCGCGGCCGCCCTGCGGCGGATCCCCCCGCGCCCAGCGCACTCGCGCGCTCGCTCTCACCTCTCCTGAGCGCCACATGTCGTCTCCGCTGTGAGGGACGTCCCTCTGCAGAGGTGCTCCGGTAGAGGCCGCCAGACGCTCACCAAACGCGCCCGCCGCTGGCGTGGCGAAGGGGGCGGGCTCAGGCCCCGGCGTGGCCTGGTTTGGGACAGGCAGTGTTTCTGCGGAAGTTTCTTGAGGGCTTTCAGGACATATTTGGGACCTCCTGTAATAACCACTGGTCCCCGCTTTTAGAGCAGAGATGGAAAGGTGGTGTCCGCAGTAGTAGCCCAAGGCTTTCCTCTTCCAGGCCAAGCCGAGCATCACGCCAACCGGGCCTGTCTTCCGTCGGTCCCCAGAGCACTCGCCTAGGACCACATCTACTGTTCGCTTTAGAAAGAACCCAGCTCCCGAGGCCCCTTTTTATTTATAATTCGTTGCGACGAGAGGGAAACCCAGGGTACAAATGGATTAGATTAGAATGAAACCCTTACCAATTTGCAGTATACATTTGAGGGTTTTCTCAAGTGTCAACAGCAAGGGGCCGCGGGGTCTCAGGCCAAGGGGCCTGAGAGCGCTTCTGAGCCTGGACATGGGTGCACTGCGCTGCCTCCCGTACCAACGCACATGCAGGGTCATTATGGGGACCGTGTCTGTCTCTGGCTCAGTTGTGCAGATTCTAAAATGAGGGTGGCACTAATGACAACTTGGTGGAAATAGGGTCCCCTTCGAGCAGCCCAAACAAGATGGACGCAAAAGCAAGCACAGGGGGGAAACGTTTGAGATCTTGTACTATTCGATCACATCTTTTATGACACTGCACTGTTTATAGTCGCTTTTAACAGAGGAGTTGTGAGAAAAGGCAAGCTTCTAACTCTCCTCCACAAAGGATCTTGAATCTTCCAGTGTGTGAAAGCACTCCGTTCTTCAGCTGTGTCTAACACCGTGTATACAAATCTCAGCTACCTGCTGTGCTTTTGCACATTCCAAAAATTCTCAGATATTCCAAAAATGAGAAATTGTAAATGTATTTCAGGAACAGGACATAAAAATATGTAAATGTTGCAAAAATACACAGGGGGTGTTACTCTGAATATGCATTTAGCCACAGTATTTAATAACTGATTCTAGTGGCTACCTGATCTAGAAAGGAAATATACATTATAGAGCATGAAATATAAATTAGATAAGTTGCTCATTTGAAAGGCTTTCTGATTCTAAAGTGGATAAATCAAACATATGCATTTATTCATTTTCTAATTTCTCAAAAGACGTATCACTAAGATAACGTTTATTGACAAAATCATTAAATTAAAAAAACCAGAATCAACTTAATATACTTCTATAATCAACCTAATATAATTTTTATCTATTAGGTGTTAGAATTCTAAGGTTAGTGATATCAGTGACAGCTACTCCTCTCTCGGGATTAAACAACTTAAGGCAAATCACAAGTTAGATATCTAGTGAATTTCAAGCTTTACAGATTATCAAACAAAGTCATTCAGTAATTTTTGCCAGAAAAAAAAAGTAGATAAATCAGGGATTACTTTTGGATTAGTGAGAGTTATGGACCTTAGTTCTTAACAGTAATACCTTCTGAAGGTATTATTGACAAAAATGAATGAAATATCAACTGTAAGTGAATTTATGCTCTTTTGATGGATTATTTTTTAAATTTCCATTTTTTGGTAAATTTTACATCAGTTTAATTTCAATGCATATTACTGAACATATGGAAACTATCTTAAGTAACATCTAATCTGTAAAAAGGTATGTAAGCATGTGGCTTAAATTCTTACCTCCTTCTTGTGACAAAGTGGTGGTCCAGTCTCGCCTCTTAATATTTCTAAACAGGTGACAGAGCCCCAGGTCAGATGGACCTGAGGGGGCAGCAAGACAATAAGACTTATCAAAACCGTATAGAAACCCACAGTTTTGAAGAATATTTATTGCCACTTTAATAATGTGTGTTTTAATATGAAATCCAGTGTTTCCCCTGAGAAATAATGGTCTGTCGGCTGAATTCCCATTTGTTCAATTAGCATTTTCCCCTTTATTGAGTGACGTTGAGCAAAGTGGCTATGCTTCTGGAAAGCAGTAGAGGGCACCCCAGTTCCACATAACCTCAGTGTGGGACTAGTCTCACAAAGAATTGTTTCCAGGGTGAAGGCCTAAAAATAGCTCAGCTTGGGGAAGCCAGGCAATGGGTGGAGCACAGAGCACCCACTCTGTACCCCACCTGGAACGGAGGCAGAGAAGGGACGCTGTGCCTGTGGATAGGGGCAGTGGAGGCAGTAAAACACGAAAAGCAGTGTCACCACCACCAGGAAGCAGAGCTTGGCGAGAAGCTGAATGGAGGTGTTGTCGGAGAGTGGGCCCTTCTTGGAGCAGTGTCCAGGTTCTTGGCATTTTGAGCAAAGAATTGAATGAGAAAGCAAGGCAAAGTAGTGACAAAGCAGTTTATTAGAAGAGATAGTACACTTCAGAGGAGTAGAAGCGGACCCAAGGAATAGAGAATGGCTCAAGGGCCCATTATTAGAAGAGAAATTACACTCCAAGAGTTTAGAGCGGGCCACACGCAAAGGCGAGGCTCCAAAGCCTTAAAAAAAGGAAGGGAAGGGGACTTGCCAGGAGTTGGAGTTTTTATCCCCTCTTCTCTAGAATGGGCTGTTCCTCTACACCTGTGATTGATAAGAGGCTATTGCCTCATCTTTTTAGGCTGCAGCAGTTGTGAGTGACTGGTCTGATCTAATTGGGTATTTTGTCCCCATTTGTTTCCCACAGGGGTAGATAATTTCAATGACAAAGAGGAAGCTTTGGGTGGAGAGGGGAGGTCTCCTGGGTGGTGCCTTCTGTGGGAAGTGCAGGAATGCAGAGACCCAATGCCTGCCTCTAACTGCCTGCCTTGTTTTCCCTTTGAGAGATATGATCCCCATAAAATCTCTATGGAAAGTTGAGGGACAGGAGGTGTTTTCTTCTATATCTATTTCCTGCTGTGCAGGGGCGTAGAGGTGTCCCTGCCTATTGGGGGATTCATGGAACCCTCACCCTAGTTGATCTTAGATGAGAGGAAGGAAGACCGTGTTGGCTTCGCTGGTTGCGACTGGCAATCTAGCTGGGGTATCATCTGTATTCCCAAGGCCCCTGAATGAGGAAAAATAGATTTTAATTAATAAATCTGTTTGCTCTCATGGAACCTGCGGCCACTCAGGTGTAACGAGTCACTCAGGTGGCATCAATTGTCTGGACCCAGAATGGGTTTGGAGGAATCATTAGGCTTACTGGCCTGGGGAAATGTTAAAACCTATTTAGTCTCTGGGAGGGAATTGTCCAAGAGTTAGGTCCGGGATGGCTTTGGGGACATTGGGAAGTCACAGGCTTTTAAGTAGTCATCTGACGAAGGGGTAGGAGATTTCTATGAACAATCTATTGTTTAGGATTTAGAAACTGATTAGAAGAGTAATCAAAGCCAGGGGCTAAGGAGCTAAGAAACTAGGGAGGAGACTTAACATTTCTATAGGAAAGAAACTTAAAAGGTTTTTGGGGGGTGGGGGGGGGTTACTCGCCTTGCTGGTAACAGAGGGTGTACTTAGCCAAGAGCCCATTCCTGTAGAGTAAGCCGTGTTCATGTAACTGTGTAACTTTGTCTCTATGAAGAACCAAGTACAGGGTAAAGACAGCGAGAGGTAAGATGAGACGGGTATGCCGAGGCCAAGTAAAGAAGACAGGTCACGTGGAGCCAAGGGTTAACATCCTCCTGCAAAAAAGAATGAGCTACTGAATAGTTTTGTTGGTCAGGGGAAGGGCATGATTCTGGGCAAGATTCGCCAGCAATTGTACAGAGAAAAAGCGTTGGAGGGTGCAGGGGAGGCGGGAAGAGGCTGAAAGCATGTTAAGAACATCGCAGGACAAGCCCATGGTGGGAATCTAACACATGCTTGAGTTACCCATTAATGGAACGATGAACTCATTATTCACAGGTATTCAAAACAGATTCATAAATGTTTTGCCCAAACAGAAACAAGAGGGTCTTGGTTGCTAAAGAAACAGGTCAAGTCATACAGGAAGAAGAGGGGAAATTCCTAAGGAAAGAAAGATAGCAGTTGATTTGGACTCTGAAAAATAACGTGTACAGAAAATATCACCAAAAATAAGGAAAGAGCAGGAAGGAAGGTAGAAGGTACAGAACACATGAAGTAATAAATGCTCCATTGACAAAAAGCACACTATACATTATGAATCCATCATTATTTCTTTTATTTCTCGCCTTATTTAAATTAGAGCTTTCATGTTACTCAACTGAAGGATACATACAGATTATAGACGTGTTTTAGTTAGCTGACACTATTTTAAAATAGAGACATTTAAAAACCAGAAAATCTCACATAAACAAATGAGTAAGAACGAATAAAGAAATTCTCTAGAGGGCCGGCCGAGTGGCACGATGCTTAAGAGCTGGCTTGGGACGCCAGAGGACCCCAGTTCGGATCCCACATATGAGGGC